GAACCGCCATCTCGCCCGACAGTTAATTACATGCGCGCATCAAGAGAAATTTCCTAATACAATTTTGTTTCTGCACTTGTGACGCTTATTAAAAATGAGGTCGCCCGCGGGCTTGAGAAAATATGCAAATGCGTGTGTACTCTTGGCCGGGAGAAGGAAGATCTTTAAGTCTTGCAAATTGAATCGGACCGGCTCAGTGGTCACAGTCCGTCACGAGTCAGACACGGCGGATAATGGAGTGCCACAGCTACTGTCAGTCCACGTTTCAATGCCACATTCACGGTCTTACCGGCGAAGCCGGTATAAATAGCATTCATCGGACTTTCCGATACTTATTAAGTATTGAATTTGCCGTTGCGGAGCCGCGGAAAGTCTGCCATTGCGAATTGCGACGCATTGCTCAATCGACAATAACAGCGGGAGAAAAAGCCGTGCAGCAGGAAAAATCTCGACGTGTGCAGGGAGAGGGTGGGACGGAGCGCGATCGGCTTGGAGACCGCGGCTTTGATAGACGCCACGAGAAAGGGAGGAAGAAAGCGTCGGAGTTCGGAAGACGAGTGGGAAAGGAGGAGAGAGCGTATATACGTGCGAGGGAAATAGTGGAGATTCCGCGGTTTTCGAGTATGCGGGCGAGAAACGAAAGAGAAAATAAGGGTAAAAAGGGAGCGAATTATTGGTCGACATGGAGAAAAACGAAGGACGCTGCAGGGGCGACGAAGGGCAGGGGGCAGGGGGGAGGGGAGCGATAGGAAGGCAGACAGCTGCGGAGAGACCGAGAGAGGACGAAAATAACGATGAAGCGAGAGAGGAGAGGACGAGTTGGAGGAGGAAGAAGAGACGGGAGGAGATAGGAAGGAGACAGGGAGAAAGAGGCGGAGGGAAGGAAGAGGAGATGAGAGAGGAACGACGCTGGGCCGAGGGGGTGCAGCTGGGTTGCTGCACGAGTAACGAAGAGAGGGAATCGATGTGAGTGTGAGACACTGGTGGGGAAGCACCAATCAATAGACGCGCGGCGGCGCTCCACCTGTCAACGCGCGCGGAGATAAACACAGGTACCTTTAAAACGATGTTTAAAGGCAGCGCGTCAGGTGCGCGATGCCGCCAGTGCGTATGCCTACGCACCGAGGATTGCGCGGAAAGAGAGGGAGGGAGAGAGACATTGTCGGGATAATCGAGAACCCCGGAATTCCGGTCTTTTATTATCCCGTCCCGCGCCAACCCTCGTCGTCGTATTCGCCATTCGCTGACGGAGATAAACGGAAGCACCTATCCGGAGTATTATACGGCCAGGGTTACATACACCCGCCGGACCTGTATCGCCGCAGACGTCCCCGCGCGTGTAAGAACACCTGGAATATTTGAACAAAGCCTTTTTGCCCGGTACACATTAACGCGCGCGTCCACAGAAGGCAACTAATAGCCCCATATTTTGCATATAAAACGATCTCGTCGAGGAAATCGAGTTTAGCGGTCGGTATTCCGGTTTTACAGCAAACGGCAATATTCATCGTTTAATTATACGGTTGCGATCTAAATTAATCCGCCAGCTCACGTCGGTCGGTAATAAGAATACTGCTGGCCATAATAAGCGCGCTCCACGCAGTGATTTACCGCCCAAGTTTTGTACGTCATATTTAAGGGAAAACCAATATATTCGCCCCGAGTTTCCTAGGATGCGTCATAAATACCTATATCATAGGGGGATATCATAGTTTATCGCTAAAACTCGTCGGTTATCCGTATTGTCGACGTAACAAGAGCGTGCATCTTTAATCTCAAAGTTGGAAACATTATTTGGATATTATTCTTTTCAGTTTATAAACAACAACGCGGCCACGGCATTGTGTATCGGTTACCGTTCATTCATGCGCTAGATTCGCGAAATTGTACTCGAATCGAAGCAAAAATATAGCGCCACTTCCCATTTCATCGCGATTATTTCGTAGTCGGCGAAATTTTTGCTGCGCGAGATTTCCACCGCTTTTGGACACGGTAAACGAAGAGCGGGTTAATTAATATTAGCTTAATGCGACGTTGGCGGCAATGCGGCTTTGCGGATTTTATTGTAATTACAATCTAGTTACGCGGATGTATTTTCGCTGACGCCGAATTTTGTCTTGATTAGCGGAGCGGTCGGCTCGCGTTGTAAAACAATTTTAATATCGACGAAGATATTCAGCAAATATCGATGCGGCGAGAACGTGTTTGTGGACAGCGGGAGGACGAGGAAACGAGCGAAAGAGCGTATTAAACACAGCACGAATTATTCTTCTCTCTCTCTCTCTCTCTCTCTCTCTGTCTCACTCGCTCGTATTCGCTCACTCTTTCAAGTATTTTAATCAAATGATATTAGCGGGACGCCCGACATCACGCTGACCATATCACACGATGAACGTCTTTCGGTCTAATCGTCTGTCTCGCTTAAACAGCGTAAAACCGCTTCAAAGGCGTTAATCGCCTACAATGTATGCTAATTATTAAGCGCGGGCGTGCAATAATAATCTCCTTTTATCGCCGTCCGATAATTTCGTGCGCGATGATTTAAATATCGCCGGATATTCAAGGGACAAGAATTCCGTTGGAGGTAAACCGCGAATTAAGGGTGGGAGCAAATTATAAGCGGTTTCTGGGATATCAATTACGAGAAATTAGCGAGGCTATTGTGGTGTAATCGTGCTGTGTCGTCCGAATTACAATAGGATTCTTTCCGCGGCGGTTTCCCCGTGCGTAGCGAGCATAATGGCTCAGATTGCCGCGCGGTATCTCGCCCGTGGATTTCTGTACGTTCAGCGAGATAATAAAATTATGCGCCTCGTAAAACGACGGGCTCGCCAGCGTGTCTTGACACGCGCACGATCGTTTAAAACATTCGCGGGATTACACCGCGGATTCAACGAAATACGCGAAGCCGGATATCGTACCGCGAGATCAATATTCGATATTCAACGGCAACAATTTTAATCGGAATACTATTGAAACGGTGTCGGAAAGTACGATTAATAAAAGACCCGAAGTAACATTCGTTCATTTGTCTCTGGCAAATATTATCTGCTTTCTCCTTCTTTCTCTCTCGCTCTCGTCGTACGCGTGGAGTATATTTTTCAACCCAGATGCATAAAGCATAAATATAAGCTGATTATTAATGCCAATAGCTCGCGGCTATTGTAAACTACTTTACAATGATATTTCGACAATCATGAGTATAGGGAACAAAAACGTCGTTTATCGTCTGCACGTTTAACAGTGTAATTTTGACGGGGAGAATAATTCTTTGTGCGGCGCATTGTTCACCGTGCACAATGCCGAAGAGTTAATAAATGCATGGATCACGCGTAAAGCAATATCTCCGTGCTCGCCCTGTAAAGTATATGAGATGACGTCGCGCGACGTTGCGGCGCGCGATATCCTGTCCACCTCCAGTTTACTGTCGGCCAGGATTCCGGACGGATCGTAATACTACTTTGTTTCGAACTTGCCACCGATATTTCACGAGGCGCGGCGCGAACTGCGAAATTAGATGCTCTCATAAAAGCGGGGAAGAAAAATCCACGTGTGACGGGCATATAGAGGCGGGCGAGCGAGCGAGTAGGCAGGCAGGCGAGCAGCGAGGCAGGCGGACAGGCGAGGCAGGAAGCGGAAAGAAATGAAACGGGAAAAGGTGCGCTATAATATCGTGTAACACTTCGGAGCGTATCTTATTCGCCGCGTGAAAAGTTCTCTCATTGCGCGGACGGGGGAAAAACAGCTCCCGGGCACAGCGACGTTCGGCGTTACAACTTTGAAAGTCGTAACGAAAATTATTTCGATACAAGTTTGTCAATTCGTACGATTGCCCGTTCTTCGTCGCCCGCGCGCGCTCTCTCTGCATTCGCAACTAACTTGGGGGAGAAGTATACATTTTATAGACGAAAATCCGCGTGCTCGCGGACGAGCTTTCCCAGCTAGATATTAATGGTAACGCCGGATGCTCGGAATAACGAAGACACAAAGTGCAGTATTCAGCGCTGACAGTTACTCGATTATACGACGCATACCGTGTTAGCGTATATCATCGATCACTTCATCGACAGCAGCATCTGGAATATGCGATACATTTGACGTGAAATAAATAGCTTGATAAATGCGTGTAGCCATATTATTTCTACAGCGGCGACGTCAATATTTTCATCGGTATCGCAAAACGTTTCCACGGGGGGCCTCTGACTTGGCGCCCGACTCGGATGCCAGTGCACGTAACAATCGCGCCAAGCCTTATTAAGTCCGAGAAATAGACTCGGCGGGTTATCGGGTATGTAGTCGGTTTACGGTAAATTACATGACGAGCGATAGCATTAATATTGGTGCGTATTACCGACTATTAACGCCGAATGGATCGGCGTAATTACACGGGCCTCGTGTGCAGACGCTGGCTGAGCAGACGCCGGCTTGTATCACTGCGTCGTGTGTGAGCCAGTAGTAAACGGAGCGCCACACATCAGACATCCGATACAGGGTGTCGCGTCGGATTATCACATCCGATTTCACGACGGGCGGGATAATCGCGTTTCCTCGCGACATTTGTTAAACCCGCGAATTCTACTTGCCGAAATCTACATAACTGCGTGCGTCACTCGCCGCGAGTGTTTGTAGTCGGCGTTAAGTGCCTCCTAATTTCTCTCGTCCGCATGAAATATAATTCTTCGATAAAGACACTTAGAAAAGAGTTTCTTTGAATTTTCACCCAGACTTTCATTTAATTAACAAAAAATGATTCATTTTTAGAACCTGGAATATCTAATAGCGAATTCGTTGGTTGCACTAGTGCGCACTGAGTGCACACTAAGCCTTGTTTACAATCACTTCTTATATTTAAGGATTATCTTAAATATTTCTCATTCGTTTAACCGTAACTAAATCTTTTTTTCCGAGTGTAAACTGCAGTAATATAAAATCGTTTTATCCGTCGTTTCGTGTATACATGTGCAGGGTGTTTAATTAATTTCGTTATCTTCTGCTTACAGGTGCTATTTTTGAGCAAGGCACCGACGAGGTACAATCCGCCTTCAAGTTCGCGATGATGAACCACAACCAGAATATTACGACCCGCAAGTTTGAACTGCTGGCCTTCGTGGATGTAATTAATACCGCGGATGCCTACAAGTTATCCCGCCTCAGTGAGTAGAAACGTATTTCTTCCGCGCAATTGCTATTCATCTCACGTATCATCCTGCGTGCAGCATTCTTCTTCGCGAATTGTAAATATCCACACGTCGACGGCGTACTCGGGAGAAGAAAAACTGAATCGTAGACATTCACAGAGGCCGTTAAATATTTCATAGACATCTTCAAATGTCGATCGCGCGTTGCCTTCGCACGCCCCGTGCCAGTCGATTCGAAATCGAGTGAACCGAATTCCATCGCGAATATTCCTCCGGATTGTACCGACAATTTTTCATGACTACATTTAAAGTGTCTGAAACGTCCGTAGGAACATAGCGCGGAATTTCGTTTCTGTCTCTCGAGGGTGGAAATCGATTTCGCGTTTTGTTCGCGATATCTGTACCGGTGTCAGCCACGGTGACTTATCAACAATGCTGAGGCGCGTACGTGCCGGAAGCGCGACATCTCCGCGCCATTGAATACACCGCAGCGGTCCGTGTCGGATATGAAATAAGTAACGTTTCGTTTCTATAGCGTCGCAGATACTAATCTCGCTGCCTGGAAGGCTTCCATTTCCTATGGCGCTAGGAGGCACGCGCGGACGATAGAGAGAACGCCGTTGTTACGCTTGTACACATCCCCGCTTCTAAGAAAGCGTATACCGCGTATACAAAGGTCGGTCGATTAACGCCCGATACAGTTCCGCGATTGCGGGAGCAACTCGCGGCAGTGTGAATCTCGCGATCTCCTCTAAAAATGCGCCAAAGTTTCCGAGCGAAACATGGGATCGCCCGTGAGATCTCTTTCGATAATTCCGACTGAAATGTTGCGGAATCTGATTTAGCCGGATTCGTCGATTATCGAATCGCAATTTCGTGATTAAACTCCATTCAATCATGCGATTAAGTTAGTGGAATTGTCTCATTGTTATGTTACTACGTGATTCGACATTCGCTTGCTTTCAATGGGTGCCATCCCAGCACTCAATGGTGTGAGAAGTTCCGGAATTATCCGAAGAGCCATTACATGTCACTTATCCTGATTTACACCGGAGCGTAGCAGGCGTGAATTTTCACGATAACAGTTATCACGCTTGTAATGAAGATATAACGTACATTTTTCTCGACAGTAACGTTGCAGGATACTTAATTTTATCACATTTCCGCTCAACATACTATTACCATCCACTTATTTACACCAACCGAGAGAAACCGTCGTCATATATGAAACATAACAATTTATACCCATTTTTTTTTCAAGTGGACATCTTATTCCCCAGATATCTCTTTGATTGATTGCGTGATCGTATCTCGTCTTTGCTTCGAATTGATGTTTGTCTCCGTGTTATCAACAATTCTTCCCCTCCGGAATTCATAGTAGTTTCTCGCTTTGTCGCCCGTCGCATATATTCGAAATTTGAAAGAGCTGATCGACCGGCTTACCCGCGAATCGCTTTGACGGCTTTTAACCAAGGAACGTCAGTCCAATCGAGCTACATCGGTCTCTAGCTTTGAAGTCGACCGGAATCGTTCTAAACCGTAAACGGATTGAAGGACAAAGGGCACTCGGGTGCCAAAGATATCGGTGTCTCCTATCATTGACGAAATCGCAGTTATTGCGCCGTACTGCAAAGAGATTTTACAATCGTAAGATGAGGCCTTCGAAGGTTTATTTAAGACTACAGCATGTTTATATTTATTCTCTGATTACGAACAGATGGACTATGATATAATGTAACAATAGTAGCTCTAGTTGACTAATTAATCGTTCAAGATTTACAAGTAGTTCGGTATCTTTGATCGTGAATCATTCAATTTTTGTAATTAGTCTTGCATTTAGAATAATTGGAATAGAATTATGTAATGTGATGGCTTAGGATGGTGAAATGTTGATAAGCGTTGCGATTCTATTAGCCCAAGAATTCGTGAATAGAATTCGCCGACAAGCGGGTTCATCGTGGATTCGTCGTGGCAGTGCGCGAGTATTTGGGCCAAGTCCAAGGGGCAGGGAGGCCGTGACGGTACTTAGCAAAGCTCCGTTAATTGTATTAACGTTGGTCGGTTCACCCGGATGAAGACCCTGTTATAATCCCACAGCTTTCTGCCCGGCAAATCTATTGCTGCATTGCGCTTCGCTTAATGTTTTGGTCCACTAAAGCGATATAAGCTGTTGGCAAAATAACGAAGAAAGAGTTTAGTCTTGGCATTTTTCTCAGGTCTAATAACGCAGTCGGTATTAACGGAGAGTCACCTCTGCAGTTATTCGAAATGGTAAAGTACAGTGAAAAAGTTGAACGCGTTAATAACGTAAATATTGAAATCTGAAAAATTGGAGAACGTTAGTTATGTAATGATATAAAATCTATAAGATAATGATATGATAATTATATTAGAGAAATGCAGGACGAATATATCGGAAATTTCTCCGATAGAACCCGTGTGCGTGCAACCAAAGAGATTTTACATTTCATACATTTGGTATTTCACTAGATGAATCGGTGGTTATTAATTATCCACTACGTGTGGAACGAGTTGCTGAATAGCAAATGTCATTGCAGAATAGAAGAAGATGAAAGGAGCTCTCTCGCGATGAGAATAAGAGAAACAATTTATCATGTAGTATCATCGTAAAAGACCTCCCATTTTTGCCTTTTTCATAACATTTATTCAATTTTCAACAGATACGACGAAGCTCGCATAGCTTTGCCTAGGAAATAACAGGCAGCGAAAATCATTATGGAACTGGACCGTCTCCCTTCACCGTGCGCCGGCACATGTATTTTCATTTCAATACACTTCATTCATATTCGCCGAGCATTACGTATGAAGTCCGATAAAATAGAAAGGCGTCGAATAAAGGCAGGCACCATCGGAAAGACAGAATATTCCTGTTCCATATAAAATCGCTTTTTAACCGTCAATACAAGCACAGGCGCCGTGGACGTTTAATGATTTCTTATTGTACGTAACGGGAACGGGTACGAATATCCAACTGGGGCGAATGCGCGCGCGCGCGGGCCGAGTCTGAAATATGGGGGAAGAATATCGTTAAATAAATCTGCTACTTAATATTTTCAATAACGCTCCCCCTCCGACGTTAGCGCGCGCGGAAGTCGGTTTCTGACGGGTTTTCGGAAGGGTCGCTATCGAGGGAACCGAAAATTATTGCGGGCGTAAGGACGGCGGCGACGAAACGCGGGCGGAGAAGTTTTTTCCGTTGAGAAATCACACGGTAGAACCGGGAATCCTGAGGGAGAGAATTTTCGCGGTGGCGTGGTACGCTCGTCTTAGCGGAACGTAATAGCCATCTATCAACTTTCGGTGCATATCGTATAATATCCTGCAAGATCCTTTGGCCTGCGGGGGCAGGAGGATGAAGGGAGAGGGGGAGGGGGAGGGAGGGAGGGAGGGAGGGAATAACCTTCCCGCCACCCGCGTCCTCGTCCTCTCGCCACTGCCAGAGAGGGATGAACGTATACGGGGCGCCAGCGAGCCAACCAGCCAGCCAGGGCCGGCATAAATCTGCCGAGGGCTCCCGAGGGTATTTCCCGCCTTTTTTCCCCCTATACCCTTCCGCGCACCTCGCTCGCCTTCGCCTCCTATTCCACGCTTTCGCGCCCTTCTTCTCGCATCCTGAACCAGACGCGAGATGAATCCCAGGGTTCTATTCCCGCGTGGTTTATTCCGGGGCAAACACCGGCCCGTCGTCGACGAGGTGGGCGAAAGTCGACGACGATTACAAATTTACAGTTTACATTTACGAGCAACATACCAGCGCCGCGTTGATTCACGCCGTACTGATTTAGGCGCCGATAAAATAATAACCATCAAGTTGAATCTACGCCGAATTAAATTTTATCCTATGGCATTTGCTTGTATTCTAATATTTCAACCGTTAATAATCGGGCTTGCTGCGTAGGATGTACCTCGGAATACAATTTTGTGTTACAAGATCTGTTGTTAGCATGAGGTTTGCGCGTGTATAACATGTCTATTCTAGCATTTGCCATTTAATACTGCGTAAAATGTAGATGCGGAATAATAATCAGATATGTATTGTGAGATAGTGATCTCGATGAATCGGTGTATAACATGTCGAACTCTCGTTACATTGAATTTGTAGCGATTACGCTAAACATACAAACCCATGTTATGTAAGCTCCTAGTTTTGTTTGGGTAAATGTTAATCAGATACGTCTGATTAAATCCCTGCAAACCTGTGAAAATCATTATCATTGAAGCACATTTTTCGCGATTATATTTACGCTCCATCTTAAACATTCATATCTTATAGGTCTTAATGCCGAAAAGACAGTACATCTAAAAAAATGTGTTATAATTTTCTTAATGCATACCACTTCTTAATAGTACATATTTGCTTCGTTTGGTTCTCGGCGTGACATCGAAAATATTCGATCTTTTTATCGTAAACTAGACACGAGATAAATTTCCGCGATTATATACCCGCACAGCAAATCCGAATGCAAACATTGGCTCGCGCGGACATGAGTGACGAGGACGAAAGATAACGATGGTTACAATGTTTACACGTTCACTAACGCAAACACAAGTCACGTGTTATCATTCTAATTAAAATGTAATTTAAGTAATTGCTACAAGGGATATTTACGCTATCTGTTAAATGAGAAATGAAACTACATTTAATGAACTTTGTATTACGGCCACTCTCTCGCAAATATTCTTTTACTATTATGAAACTGCAATTTAAAGAATTTTTTATTATTGGCAAATAATGTAGTAATCATACGATTAAACACTTTGCTAATCCAATTAACTTTTAAAGCTTTACTACCGCAATTGTCAGAGACATTGTATAATAATAGAAACTTCCTGTCTTTTAACATTTTCGTAAATACAATTAGTACAATATGAAAAATTATCAAAAACTTATTCATTTTAAAAGTAATTAATACTTCTGTTCAGATATAGATTGATCATTATACTTAAATAATTAGAATAAATCTAATATCATAATTTTGACTTACATCGAAAAC